CTCATTTGATTCTGATAAATGTTATGCTTCGTCATGTATAAAATTTCTTTACTCTAAAATTTTTACTATATTTTTTCAGTGCATGATTTGGAGCTGGTATTTAGCTAATGACATGCAATTTTATATAATCGCTATGACGCTGTTGGTTTTGTCAACTATGTAAGTTATCTATAGATGGTATAGTGTATATTACAACTAATATTTTCCTCGTATACATTTATAAAAACATATATATTCTAAATTTCAGGTACTTCTATACAGCTGTTATGATATTAGGTGTACTTTTAGTGGGTTCAATTATCTTTAGCGGATACATTTCAAATATTTATGAATATGTTCTAACGTAAGTTATTGAAATGAATCTTAAGTTTTGAGAAATTAATTAAAAGAACGATCTTCTTATCGTTACAGAGTGGATCCAGTGGATGGATTTGTAGATGTCTTCTACACCCCACCATGGATGAGAATAATCCCATATATTATTGGAATAATTGCAGGTTACGTTTTAGTAAAATTGAACAACAATTTGATGTTGAAAAGAGTTAAGTATTATTCATAATACATTTACATAATGTATTGAGCAGAAATAGTAAATAATTGTAATACTTATGCAATATATACATTATTAACCTTCTACCCGGAATATCGGTCATTATAACTGCTAAGGTTCACATTTACACTAGTAGAAAAATGAATGAAACTCGTGTTTTTCTGAAATAGCGGTCATTATGACGGGGTGTTCCATGTAACCGCGGGTATCCAGGGATTCCGGATAAAGAGTTAATAATTTTTTTATAAATTAATTACATGGACATTTTAAAATTGATTGTCAATATTGAAAATCTATAACACACATATCGTAAACTACAAATTTTCAGTTCTGGCAATAATTCTAAAACAAAGTCATAGATATAAATAAATAACATTATAATATAATTTGACATATATTTATTTCAGAAAATTGTTATTTTGTGTTGGTGCATCTTTTGTTTTATGAGTACTTGCAACGTTTTTGTATCATTTGTTCTTTATCACAAGCGATTCGTCCTATTTACTGCTATATATGTGGCACTGCACAGATTATTTTCAGCCATAGGTATGGCATGGATTGTAATAGCGTGTTGTACTAAACATGGAGGTTTGTTTATTTATTAATATAAATTCACATTTTATCAAATTAACCTATTTTTAATGTGATAAAAATATATCAAATATTTTATAGTATAAAATCATGTCGTTCTTATAATTTCAGTAGTAATAATAGTAATATCTATCTGGTTTGCAAATTGAAAAATCACAAAAATTAATGAAA